GCAGGTGCTTACCGGGCAAGGCAGCTTCGGTAGGTTCCTGTTTCGGATACGGCGGGAGGAAAGGCCCGAGTGTCGACATTGTGAGGACCATCCAGAGGATACGGTGGCTTAGTGCCCTGCTTGGGCTCCTCCAACCTCCGTGTCATCAGGGAAGTGATCGCCGGCGGTCGCCCTGGGCTATCGCCCCATCACGCCCCCCCCCTAACGCGCGCCTGTGAGGTCTAATAGGCCACTACACTACTGGACTGGTGTAGTCGGAATTGCGGGGTAAGCGCAATGAGGCATCGCGGAATTTGCTCAGAGCAGAAGGAACGGGACGGCGAGGTTAGTCAGCGGTGAGAGTCTGACAATCTCGCCCGCCCAACCCTAGACGGGAGAAGTCATTTGGTGATTTTCCCCTTAGAAAAAGTGTTTCTTTTTAAATATAAGTTGGTATATAAAAAAAAAACAAGCGAGTAAAGTGAAGTCGCGTGCTCAAAGTTATTTAGTAAGTAGTATACCTACCTAGTTTGATAAAGAATAATAATATTATATAACAAATTAATTGTGAACTTGATTACCTACTTAAAAGATATTAAATATCTCGGGTGAAATAAATTGATATGTAGGCACTTTATAATGTAAGCATTTCCCAAGAGGTTCAAGTTTTATTTTCAGACAAGATGCAGAAAGTACCTTTTTTTAAAACTAGCCAAATTCTATATACCTATCTGTATTTTACGAAACTAAGGCTCTGTACGAAGAGTACAGGGTGGTGGAAGGGATCCTAAGGGGGAGATCCGTCAAGCTAAAAATTGGCTCCGCAAGGAGATGATGGAGACTCTATACCAAAACCCATGGGGCGCCTTTGCCGAATAGTTTGGGAGAGCCATGCTTTGGCACAAATGGGTCGGCTCGACCGGAGTGATTTCACAACCTCACAGAAAATGCGCGTGAAACAAACACAGCGTTGTGTTTCTCCGTGTGAGTGAGGTCACCGGAGGTCCATAATGCCTAAATCTCCTAATTCCTAATCCCCAAAAGGTCGGCAACGCACTCGTAAGTTCGTAGCTCCACTGTTGTTGCGGGTGTCCATGGGCGGCGCTGATTGCTTACCATCAGTTAATCCGAATGCCCGTTTGCCGACGGATCACATAAAATATAAAAAATGGTGGTGATAAACTGGACCGATTGCGAGCCACAACGACGACGACGATGACTCCGGAGGTGACCGACGTAGATTTTATAGGGCCACCTTACACCGGTGCGCTGGCTTCGCGATAAGACTACCGCTCCAATTCCAGAACCTGATGTAGCCATCCTGAGATTATCCGCGGACGGACAGACAGATAGACTTGTCGAAACTATAAGGGTTCCTAGTTCCTATAATATAAGGGTTCCAGGATTCCTTCGGAATCCTTAAAAAGAACCGAAAAAGAACTTTCAGGAAACCCAAGAAAACAAAATAAATAAAACTTCCAAAACAAGGGTAACGAAGTGTAGTGTAGTGTGATTCTAATTTACAAAACATAATAATATTATGTAGGTATCTACCTTCGTGGTATCTACAAACATTAATGGTTACGAGTGCAAAATATAAAATGTTGATATATTTTCACTTTGAAATGTAACAAAAACACTTCTAAATAATAAGTCGGTAGATATTTTTTTTATTTTATTTTTTGTAATTTATATGTATAACTTATTTTTTGTATGTTTTTTTTTATTCTGAACGTATCTTCATTCAAATAAAAGAAACAGGTTTTTAATAAAATTACCACCAATAACTTAACATTTTTAACTTAACACTTACCGACCCATCTAGTTTGTTTAAATTTGTAACCATAAATACCTAACATTTTTTGTGAGGGGAAATCATCAAAATTGAGTGGCTTCTGGGAGTGTCAGACTCTTACTGACTAATAACCCCCTTGTTCCTACCGCTCTTCTGGGCCGAGGTCGCGGTGACTCATTGCGCTTACCCCATAACCCCGGCTAAACATCAGCCCTACAAGGCCCCGTCTGTGGTGGTCTATTGGCGCCTCGGGTCTGTTTCTGGTCGGGCGGGGAGCTACCCTGACTCGCCGTCCGCAGACCCGCGCTTAGGGTCGGTGGCCGGAGATCATTTCTCGATCCCCGACGCCCGGAATGTCGCCTATTGCGGCGGCTGATGCGTGAGGAGAATAGGATTCTCTCGCGCTCCGCCTCCTCCTTTGCGAGCATCACTGCTTCGCAGAAAGAGGAGATGGCTTCCCATTTCCTCTCGCTACGAACCATGGCCTCGACTAAAGCCAGGCACACCGCCACCATATCTTCAGGGTGGTCCTCAGAATGACGACACTAAGGCGTTTCCTCCCGCTGGATCCGAAACTGGAACCTACCGAAGCTGCCGTGCCCGGTAAGCACATGTGTCAGGTGTCTCTCGAGCCAATTCTCAAAGAGTGTCTTATCGCTGCTATAACATGGGACACACATGGGATTTTCCACAGAATTGGTCCTGCGACGACCTCCTGTCCTGGTTTTACCGCTGTTATAACAGCGAGCCCGAAATACCTACGAGATGGCGCTGTACTTTTTCTACTTACGCTGAATTGCGGTGTAAAGATTTACTGTAAGTGGGGACACTCATTGTAACATGATTTCCAACGAAGAGAACCCTACACATAAAGTAAAGAAGAAATGCTGTCATATACCTTTAAATTACAAAAACTGTTCAGATTATTTTTTGTAGGTACATCAATTAAAAAATCAAGGAAAATGGAGAGAAGTATGTTGGGTATCAAAATATCAGACAAAATTAAAAATGAAACAGTAAGGAAAATAACGCAAGTAACCGACATACTTCAAAAGATAAGAACTATCAAATGGACATGGGCAGGTCACGTATGTAGAATGGCAGACAACAGATGGACTGTGAAGTTAACAGAATGGACACCAAGGGGAGCACAAAGAGGAAGAGGTAGACCGAGAAAGCGATGGGAAGATATATTCAGAGAGAGAGGAGGTCCAGACTGGAGAAGGAAAGCACGAGATAGAGACGAGTGGAGGAAGCTGGGGGAGGCCTACGCCAAAGAGGCGACATCCACAAAAGATTAGTTGCCTATTTTAGAGATAATATTTAAAATTAATTAATAATTAAATGAAAATTATATATATAGATAAATATATGAAATTAAACAAATGAAATAAATACTGATTAGAATACAATTGTAATGTTGTGAGCATGTTTTTGTGGTTGAATAAAGGCTATTTTTATTTTTATTTTATTTATTAATTAAAAAACCCGCGAGAAGATGGTGGGGTCAGATGGTGAAATAATACCCATGGGACGCTCTTACCGAATGGTATGTGATAAGGTCCGCACCTGGGCCCATTGTGGGCCACAAGCAGCGAGAAGACACTCTTTGAGGAGTGGCTATGGCGACGCGTCCTCAACTTCCACCTGATGCAGGTGCTTAGGTACCGGACACGGAAGTTCCCTGTTTTACATCTAGGGGAGGAAACGCCCGGATGTTGTCATAGTTCACTATGACAACATCCGGGCGTTTACCCGGACTATACGGAGGAGCTTAGGGTAGCGGTGGACCCTGCCTGGGCTGAGCACCGCCGTGCCCTCGGGTCAACGGCGGAGACTAACTCTCATACCCCGCCTCAGTCGAGCCATGGTGCAGAGCGAAAGGGGCAGGGAAGGCGTCTTATTTTAGCAAAGCCGTTATGCTCGCAAAGAAGGCGTAGCACATGAGGGAGCTATCCTCCACTTGCCCCAGCAGTTGCAGGAAAATTTCCGAGCGTCGGAGATCACGCAACGATCTCCAGCCACTGTAAGTAAGGGCTTGCAAAAGGCGAGCAAGAGTAACTCGCCGGCCGCCCGACCAAAACCAGACCCTATGGGCGTAGCGTTCTGCGCGCCTCAAAGGGCCACTAAACCACCATAGATGGTGCCCAACAGGCCGATGTTCAGCCGAGTCAAGCGTAATAATGAACCGAACCTCGGCTGAAGCAGGAGAAGTGGTTTAGAGTCTGTCATTTGATGATGTTAAACCATAAAAGGACACGTGCTTGTGACAGTCAGAGTAACTATTAGATTAGATGCTTTCTTTAGCTAAAAATTAATTGTTTCGGCTCTAAAGCAAAGCAATAAAATAAAAGTTAACACAATTGTTGATTTTGTAATATGTATAATTGTTTTGTTCGTAGTACTTAACTTTTTAATACGGTTGTTTCCAACTAGTCAAATTCAATACTTTTATCCAAATGTCAAAAACGATACTTTTCTATGAAAATTGTATGAAACATTGAATTATGACGTCATAGCATTTATGCGTCAAATAGTTTACTTATTTTTAAAAAATTAGCTAAGAAATATCTAATACTTAGTGTATCGATCGATCGATGAATAAAAGTATAGTAATTTTTCAATATTTTATCGTATTAAAACGTCGAATTAATTTATTTTTGACCTAGGAAACTACCCAATTATGCGACTTGATGCAAAACAAGGACGAAAAACGAGACGTCGTCGTCGTAACATAAAATCTCGTGGAAAATCTTGAACTACTAGATCAAACTGAACTATTTTTTCTCGTGTTACATAATCCATTTATTGAGAAAGGTTACAACACGCTCAGAACCAAACAAGCCGGGAATTCGGGAAAAGCTCGCAAAGAATAAAAGTAAACTTTTAAAATTAAAAATTATATTTAAACGTTACAAAAAATATTACGAAATCTTAAAATTTATTATGATATAAAATAAATCGATCAAACCTTAAGAGAAATAATAGTCTTAAATCTAAATGTTCTATAAAATATACTAAATATCAATAAAAAAGTAAAACTATTACACAAATATCAACCTAAATTGTATAATTACTAAATGTGGATGTGTGGAATTAATTTATTTATATACATAATTATGATTTCATTGCCGATTTTCGAAATTTGTATAATTAACTTGTATAAATGAAATAGTGGACATAACAGGAGTTTATTCACACAGAAAGTAGTGATCACTTATGTCGAATTGTCACTCATTGTTACTTTATGTACACAGCACACATTCAATGTTATTTTCACTCTGAAATATGGAACACCGAAGGTTGAGGTGTTAGGCTTATAACATGCCCGTTTTCTAAAGATCAGGAGGAGTTCCCATTCTCCCCGTTGTCTTGGAAATTGTTGACATTTACGGAGAAGGGTGCACCCAAACCATATAAATGTCCACTAGAATTTTCGATGTTGTCATCAAAGAAAATCTGTAAAATAAAAGCATATGTGAGTTTTAATGAGTGAGCCTGCTTCTGGTAATAATAACAAAGTATCATCATCATCATCATCATATCAGCCACAGGACGTCCACTGCTGAACATAGGCCTCCCCCAATGACTTCCAGATAGGCCGGTTGGAAGCGACCTGCATCCAGCGGCTTCCTGCGACTTTAATCAGGTCGTCTGTCCACCTTGCGGGTGGACGTCCTACGCTGCGCTTGCCGGTACGTGGCCTCCACTCGAGAACCTTTCTGCCCCAGCGGCCGTCGGTTTTATGCGCTATGTGCCCTGCCCATTGCCACTTCAACTTACTAATCCAACTTAATGTACACTACCGGCCAAAAGTTTGAGACCACCTTAATCAAAGTAGGAAAATGCGGGGAAAATGGAATAAATCGATAAATACAAGTAATCAAATGGTTTAATATACTAATTAGATAGTACTTAAATACAATTACGCTAGAATATGCAAAAAAATTGACTTTAATGTTAAAAATGGAGTTTATTATTTAAACAGATTTTTCATCAAAAAATCCACCTTTACATTTTATGACTTTTTTTACAAGTCTCGGCATCCGAGCTATTAATTTATTGATTGTTTCTTGTGAAATATTCTTCCAACTCTCTTGAAGTATCCGCCAAAGGTCTTCTTCAGAAGACGGACACCCATCACGCACCTTTCTGTCCAGCTCTTCCCATAAAAGCTCTATGGGGTTTAAATCTGGACTTTGAGGCGGCCAGATCATGTTTTTTAATACACCATCTGTTTCTTTTCGTTCCAAATATATCGCACATTGATAAGAAGACCGTCACTATACGAAAAATGATGCTTTTCTGTTAGGAGTGCCATCTCTTAGCGCGCAAAGATACTATTTTTTTGCAGAAACACCTGTCATTGTAACTATAATATTCATCGGTAGATGGCGTTAGTGTCGAACTGCTTTATCGACAATGTTGAGTCGATCTGTTATGACAGACCGCCATTTTTTCATTCGTGACTGTGAAGTTAACAAAAACGGTTTCATCTAGTGTATTCCATAGTGACATTTTCTGGTTAAAGGCGATTTGGATTGACCATATTTTGTAAGTATGAATTAACTTTAATACGAATACCGTCACATTTTGATAAGTGTCGTGTATTATGCTATATTATTTTGTAAAAATTGCTATGTTGGGACGACATACTGTCATTTTTATTTTAGTGTCGATGTTCGTGTTACGGAATTTGAAGTATTTGTGTCGGTTATTAATTCAGGATGTCATTATTCGTTTTGTGTCATTCTTCCCTTAAGCCAAACAGAGAGTTTGTATTCAATTGGAACAACATACTGACATTTTTTATTTAGTGTCGCTCTTCGTGTTACGGAATTTAAAGTATTTGAGTCGATTATTGATTCAGGATGTCATTATTCGTTTAGTGTCATTCTTCCCTTAAGCCAAACAGAGGGTTTGTATTCAATTGGAACAACATACTGACATTTTTTATTTAGTGTCGCTCTTCGTGTTACGGAATTTAAAGTATTTGAGTCGATTATTGATTCAGGATGTCATTATTCGTTTAGTGTCATTCTTCCCTTAAGCCAAACAGAGGGTTTGTATTCAATTGGAACAACATACTGACATTTTTTATTTAGTGTCACTCTTCGCGTTACAGAATTTGAAACATTTGAGTTGATGATTAATTCAGGATGTCATATTTTTTTTTTGTGTCATTCTTCCTTTTAAGCCAAATAGCAAGCACGGAAAATAAAACTGAAATCAACAAAGAATTTTGTTTAGAGTCGTTATTAATTGGGATATTTTAATGTTGGTTTTGGTTATTCAAATAATTGAATGCTTCTAAAGTCAATTAATTAAATGATCATAGTAAAAACGTACATCTATATTAGTAATTACTAGTGTTCGTTTTAGTAATTTTGACCATAATTTTTCAGACTTAAAATGCCTTTACAAAATGCGAGAATAAACAAACTCAAGAATATTTCTAAAAGACTGCTTGAAGACACACAAGATGATAAAGAAGAATTCAAAAAAAGACCGTGTCATGGTATCCAGAATGAACCTGTTCATTTAGAAAGCGCAAATACACCAACGACACACCAGACCTCCAAAAATCATTGTGAATCAACTCGCAATGAAGACGACGTTAACCAGAATGCAAATGAAGATATTTCTAGCCACAATCTTGGATTTAATATTGTGCCTTCCCAAGAAATCACATCTAAAGATCACCAGAAAGCTGAACAGGTTTCTTATTACCTTACCTAAAACAGTAGGAGATTCTTACCTTATAATATCAAACTAAGAATACTATTCAGAATACACTACTTACCTTACCACTATTTGAAACAATAAGCGGTTAATAACTAAAAAAGCTTATTGTCTTTTCCTTGTTCTTCTCCTAGTCACCCAGCTAAGAATATCACTGCATGAGTTATGAGATGCGTTTCTTTTACTTATTGTGTTATTTAAAATAATTACTTATTTTAGGAGGAACCCCTGCATGTGGATGAAAACTTGCCTCCAAATGAACAACTTCATGTAGAAAGAAGAAATTCCAGGTCATCTACCTCCAGTCGTGCATCTCCACGTGATTTTTCACCTGCTTCAGACGATGACCCAAGTTACTTACCATTAAAACCATCCACTGCAAACCGTCGACGATCAGACTCTTCTTCTTCTTCAGACTCATCATCGAGCAATTCTTCGTCTAGTTCCTCTTCCTCGTCAAGTTCTTCGTCTTCGTCGAGTTCTTCTTCTGAATGTTCTTCGACGAGAAATCACCAGTGTCCATCGTTGGCGACATTGGCTTCTGCCGCTGTAGACAAAATCTCTACAATCCAACCTACTACTATCAGAAATGACTGCAATGAAGATGGGCAAGGTACTGTCACGCATTCCTTAGAATCTAATAATCTAACGTCAGTTCCTGGGCTAGCCAGTGTTAACATATTGAACCCTGTTGTAGAAGAAGGCAATAGGAATAGTCGAAAAAAAATCAGACGAATTAATAAAAAAAGGGCAGCTCAGATTCGAAGAAATCGAGGACAATCATACGTATCTACATCATCAAAAATTGTTGCAGAAAGGGTGATGAGAGGACCCTGTAATGAAAAGTGTCGGCTTAAATGTCGTGATATTATTGCTGAAGATGACCGCAGAAGATTATTTGACTCGTTTTGGAATCTGGGCTCACTAACACGTCAAAGAGATTATATAGCGAATAATTTAGTTAACGTATTTCCTAAGTATCAGTACAAAAGACTTAATAGCAGCAGAAAACCAAAGAATGCATTTCATTTCGAGATAAATGGTAAAAAAAACAGAGTGTGCAAAATATTTTTTAAAAATACTCTTGGAATTGGTGATCGACCTATTAGAACAGTGATAGACAAGAAGAACGAGCAAGGTATAGTGGACCCTGAACAAAGGGGCAAACACAGTAATAAAAAAACCATTCCTGAAGATAATTTAATTGAAGTGCGACGTCACATCAATAGTATACCTCGTATAGAAAGTCACTATCTACGAAGACAAACTTCGAGAGAATTTATCGACGGAGGAAAGACGCTTGCTGATTTATACAGAGATTATAAAGCTGATTGCATTGAAAAAAATATCGAATTTGTAAAAATACATATTTATAGAAAAGTTTTTAATACTGAGTTTAACATTAGTTTTTTTATACCTAAAAAAGATCAGTGTGATCTTTGCACAGCTTACAGGATTGCCGATGTAAAAGAAAATTTGGAAGATAAATATCAAGATCATTTAAAAGAAAAGGATGAAAGTAGAATAGAGAAGGAAAATGATAAGAAAATGAGTAATTGCATTGTGTCTTGTTATGACTTGCAGGCAGTTATGACTTTGCCTAAAGGAGAAATATCAATCTTTTACTATAAAAGTAAATTGAATTGTTTGAATTTCACTATTTCTGAACTGGGAAAAGATCACACTGAATGCTTTTTTTGGACAGAAGTAGAAGGTCAAAGAGGTGTTAATGAAATTGGGACGTGTGTGTTTAAATATTTAGAGAAAATGTCCTTATTACATCCAGATTTCGATTTTATTTTCTATTCTGATAATTGTTGTGGGCAACAAAAAAACCAATTCATGTTATCTCTTTATTTGTATGCAGTAAAAACTTTGCCAATAAAATCTATAACCCACAAATTCCTAATCAAAGGTCACACACAAAATGAGGGTGATGCAGTGCATTCAACAATTGAGAGAGAAGTAAAAAAAATTTTAAGATCTGGCCCTATTTATGTTCCTGACCAGTACATTGCAGCAATAAAAAACGCACGAAAAAAAGGAAACGCATACAATGTTAATCTGATGAGCCATAGTGATTTTTACGATATTAAATGTTTATGTGAGAATATTTTTTCCAAGAATACGGAAGGAGAAAAAGTTAAGATAGGTGATATTAAAATCATTAAAATGATGAAAGATTTAAATGAGTCTGCTACAGTCAAAATATTTTATAAGAAATCTTACTTAGAACAGAACTTTAAAGAGATTAGACTAGAAGCTAATAGGGTAGCTACTCGTAGGCAACAGGCAGGTAATAGGTACGAAGTTCCTAATGCCAACAATCTATTGAAACCTCTTTATGCAGCTAAGCTTCCTTTGGCTGAAAGAAAGAAAAACGACATCAAATCGTTGATTGATCAAAATCTCATTCCTAATTATTACGTTTCTTCTTATTTTGATAGAATCCTTTAAGAATAAGTTAATAAATCTGATACGGTAATTTTCTTGATCTCAATTATTACTAAGTGCAAGTTAATTAAACATGATTGTGATATTACGTTATTTTCAGAGCTATTTGATTAAAAAAAGCCTTAATAAACAAAACAAGAGCCTTAATTTGAGTTTTTATCTTTAGAATGTCTAATATTTTGGATTATAATATAATTTTTATATTATCATTTTTAACACCTAAGTGTTTTGAGTCTGAAAATATTAATAAAAATGTGATTTATTTAGCTGTTGTCATCGCAAACAACTTAATGTTTGAGTAGTTTGTATTAAACTTTGCAATAAAATATTATTTCTAAATAAAAACTGATTTTTCTTTGTGTAATGTATTTTTTTCTATTGTTATTGTGTCGGTAAGTTGTCACGAAGTAGGAAATACTGAACGTTTTGATTAATGTTATAACGTCACTAAAAAAGTTTTTTTGGGAAAATCTTATTTAAAAATACTTTTTCATAAAAATAAACAATACATTCCAGTCGTGTTTAATGCTCTCTACAATAAAAACCATAACATGATATTATATTTTTTTTCTTTCTGGTGCAAAACTAGTCATTACGGTTTGGTAAAACTTAAAACGCTTCTACCGAAAAAACAGCTTTTTTGGTTAGTGTCACTCTTCTTATCAATGTGCGATATACATAACTTTGAGCTATGTTTGGGATCATTATCTTGTTGGAAAATAAATCCATTTCCAATAATCCTTAACCCTGACGGAACAGCATTTTTTTCTAGAATTAATTTATACTGCTCTTTTTTCATGATTCCTTGGATTCGCACCAAATCTCCTGTTCCATGGCCCGAGAAACATCCCCAAACCATAATAGAACCACCACCATGCTTCATTGTTGGCACTACACAGTCTGGCAACATTTTTTCGTCAGCTCTGCGTCGCACAAAAACTCTTCTTTTTGTACCAAATACTTCAAATTTGGATTCATCAGTCCAAAGAACTTTTTTAAAATCTTCTTCAGTCCAATCCTGATGGTTAAGGGCCCACTGCATCCGTTTCTTTTTATTTTGCGGTTTTAACAGGGGTTTTCGAGCGGCAACGCGGCCAAACAAGTTAGCGTCTCTTAATCTTCTTTTCACAGTAGTTAATGACACAGGTTTAGATCGGGATTTGTTCAGTTCAGCACGGATTTCTGGTGCCGTCAGCCGTCTATTCCGCTTGCTTGTGACAACGATGAAATGATCCTCGCTAGAAGTAGTAGCTCGCGGCCTTCCCGAACGTGGACGATCTTGATTACTGTTAGTCTCCTTGTATCGAATAATTGCATTGTGAACACAAGTCTTCGACAGCTTTAGTTGTGATGCTGTCGCACGTTCAGATTTGCCTTCGTTATGCAAAACAACGATGGCAAAACGAATTTCACTATTGATTTCGGGTACTTTTCCCATTCTTAACACGTCTTTACACTACAAACTGTAAGTTCAGACTAAATCAAATATAGAAAGATAAATTCAAGAATAGTTGAGTAAAAAACATGTTAAATCATGTTAAGATATTTTGTAATAATGGTTAACGCAAAACAAAAGCATACTATTAAGTAAAGAGGAAGTAATAAAAATATTACAATAACTCTACCATTTGGTCCCTGCGCGGCACTCATTGATATTTTGAAACAATTATTCTTTTATAAAACGACAACTCAAAATAAACAAAAGAATGACGTTTATGACACTATATGGCAACAATAGAATGCGCACGTGTGCAAATTGCTTTTTTATCACAAGTATTTTTTAAATAATTCAAACATTTTGAAGATTTTTATAAGTGGTCTTAAACTTTTGGCCGGCAGTGTATGTAATGTATGTATGTAAATGTACAAAACCATGAATGATTTGATTACATTACCTCTTTAATTTTAAAGAATGCCATCCCTGTTAGATGTGAATCGGAACCTGCTTGGTGTTGGGGTCCTACTCGACGCAGTTCTAACTGGTCTGCCACCTCCTGCAGTCCACCTTTCAAGTTTTTGCATAACTTCATTAAGTACTGAAATACAAAAATAAAATATTTATTGAATTGGTCCGTTTAGCCCATTCCACTCTTTTTGCTAGAAAACTGACCTTCACAAATTACAGAATTTGAAAAATTTGTCATCAAGGTTGTACATGCAAATAACATATATAAATAATGTATTAATTGTGATTTCTTACCTTCACATCATAAACAGTTGGAAAGTATAACCTCAAGCTTTCGAAGAAATCATTTTCATCTTGCGGTAGGTTCTGATCCGTTAGTAGTTTTAGCAGGTAACCAAAATCATAGCCGGAATGGAAACTGAGCCATTTTATGTTGTCCATTAACACCAGCCCTGAAATAAGAATTATTATGATATTTATGCATTTCATTTGTTACTTTATGTCTTCACTGGATTAACTTACTGAACTAGATTTTGAGTATTATTCTCCTTTCTGTTGTTATTAATTATTTTGCTATTGACTGGTTAGACCTGTTTTAAAGGTGTCCTGGTGCTTCTTTTTCTGACAAATATTTTCATAAGTGGTTGAAAGATAGATTTCGCAAAAATAAATGCATATACTTTAAGGATACCCTACACACAAATTCAGATTGCCTGGTGGTAAATTACACATGTCACCCAAGGGCATTCGCAACTACAAGATACAATTATGGTAATAGCCTTTTTAAATAAACATAATGTAAACAATTTACCAGATGACATCAATAGCTCTGCAAACTCTAGGGGTTCAATGCCATCCTCTTCATGCTTCCGGAACTGGAGACCAGAATTTTGGAGCAAATCAATTGAGTCTTGTGCGTACATATCCTCTCTGTAAAAATTAAAGTAGAGTTAAAGACAATGTTTGGTAATTGATGTCATGTCTCATTGGTAGCTAATCAATGGTTCCTCTACTGTATTCTCTAGTCATCATAGTAAGGGAATTTTATTTACAAACTTTTCTGTTTATTTTATAATAAGATAGGTATTATAAAATAAACAGAAAAGTTTGAAAAGTATGTGAGACATACTAAATTAACTAAAAATCGCTAGGGTAGGTTGCGCGACGTCGCCGCGTACGCGCACGCTGCTCATGAGGAAGAACACCTCCTAGGTTCGAAACTAGTAGAGCTTTTCTCAATATAGACGTGAATAACCCGCGATTTTTTGTTAATTTTCTGTTTATTGTTTGCAGCCAATTATATAACATAATAATTATATAGCCAGCAGTTCAGTAACTTTAACTAACTTGTAGCCAAAATCTTTGGCTACCATATAGCAGTTACAGTATTAAATACAATACATAATATAGAAGTAGTTCTTTGTTTCATCAATAAGTTTGCCTCTAATTTTATATCAAGAAAAAAGAATGTGAAAAAAAACTTACTGTAAGTTGAATTTAAAATTGAATTGCCATGTGGTGTAACCAGGAGGAGTTTTGCCGTTTTCATCCATAAATGTTAGACCCAACTGAATAATCCTTAAGAGATCAACATTACATCTGGAAATGCACAACAAAAGATTAGCATTATACTCAAATTACTTTCAAATAACAAAACAAGCATTTATTGACACAGTTGGCTAATGCATGTGTCAGTGAATTTTATCACTCAGTTAATATAATTAAGTTGTAAATTTAAGAAGACTTATTTTTTAACTGAACTGAATTATGATAAAACCTAACAATCAGTTCTATTAAAGAATATAATACTAAAAATATTCATCAATATGATATAAGATTTTATAATATGTAATTAGCAACCCACCCTGGCTTTGCACAGGTAGGTAGTAGGTCTGTACTATGTTGATACAAAATTTCTCGATTAATTTAATGGATACCTTCCTCTTCAATTACTATTAAAATATTTAGCTATTAAAAAAATCACAAAACAAAAATCTGTTGCAGTTTTAAAGATTTAAGCATACATACGGACAGGGAAAGAGAAAGTGATTTTGTTTTATAATATGTAGTATAGTTACAAGTTTAGTGATATAGTTTTAGTTACCTTAACAGTTGATACTGATAGTCAGCAGTGGATCTGAATTCTCCAATAGGCCGTGCAACAACTCCTGGAAACTCTGTGTCCATTGCTACCCAGTGGTATTTTTGAACAACCTAGTAAAATATTAACATAACAGTTAGGGTATTTGGCCATATTTTATTACAATAAAGAGTTTGCTTCAATGTCGGGTTAAGCTTCTGTTGGACAAACCAGCAGTTAATGAGGTATTTACATACAGTTGAAGTATGTGTGTGTCAAACTATTTCTATCTACAACTTAATCAGACATTGTGTTATGACCCAAAATGTAGAAATATGCAAAACAACTAACTAATCTAGTTGCTATGTAAATAAATATATCCCATGAAACTCACTTGTCTTATTATTTGAAATTCTTCATGCAAATTATGATTCCATACATCCTTTATCCCACAGTCTCCCGTTCCTGGCAGTTGTGCAATTGATCCAAAACTAGCAGCAGGCATCTGAGAAAAAAACAGTACATTATGTTTTGATAATTGTGAGGAACAACCTTCAAATGCTCATAACTCACTGTCATGTTTATTGTAAATAAGAATCTACAATTTTTAAGTCTGTGAAGAAAAGTATAGTCTGATAGCTTCCGTGATAATAACGATACATTCAACTTTAAATGACATGACACTTCTTTCGTGGTTGCTGTTGCCATTACCTTGTGACTTGTGATCTGTTTCATAACAGTATTTTGCAGTGTACTATCATAAAATCGACGTTTACACTTTACAATGACATTGTTGAAGTTACAACATACTTATTTTAGGCAATTTGTGCCAATTTCAATGCTTTTTAGCGAGTTGTCTAATGTTTCTGGAGTAGATAAGGAGTTTATAAATATAAACAAACAAACCAACCTTGTATCGGTTATCTGCTTCCAGATGGGCAGATTCTTCAGTTTTTTTCGACGCCGTGGTTTACGGTTTGTTGTAATCTTCAAATAGTTGAGCGCCAGCGCTTTTAAACAAAAATGCTTGTTGATGTTTATAGGTTACACTTGCGTTTTTAATACATCGCAGCGACTTCAGTCGCCAAGCGCGTTGGAAAGTATAAGGATTTAAAAATTCTGCTAGCTTCTTTAAAATTTTGTGGTTTCAATGGATTCACGTAAAGTTCTTTGTTAATATTATTGTTAGATTATAGTCTACGAATCTATGGAAACAAAAATTGTGGGAGACGTTTTCGTTGAAACTTGTATTGTAGCAGAGCAAAAGCAACGCAATCCATTTTTTTTTGTATTGTTTTTGCCATGGGAACGAGGCATTTAGCGCATTAAAGTGTTGGCACTTTGGCAGTTGGCATGACGATTGACTGAGTATGAAGCGCGCATATTTTGTGTTGCTACATTAAATAATGAGTACCGTGTCCTTTAGGAAAATATTTGAATAACTCGAAACTAATATTAATTGCATTCCTCAAAAATAAATAAAACGTAATATTACTTTTCCAAATGTCTACAATTACTACCAAACAGACTTTTAACCGTACATTATGCAAAGTTTGGTCGCGCTTTCCCAGATTGAATGTCTTATTAATGGTAAGTAAACATTGTGAGGAAACCAAGACTTCGCCAATTCAAGCAGCGTGATGATTAGTGCTCAAACAATATCGTGGGTGAAGAGGTCTTTGCTCAGCATTGGACATTCATCAATGTCAACAGCAGATATTATAGAATTGCGTTTAAAATTTTATTTGCGGGATTGGGCCTCGGGTAACCTCACTCAAACGGCGAAACACAATGACGCTGTGGTTGTTTCACGCCGGTTTTCTGTGAGACCGGGGTATCAAGCCGGTCGAGCTGACCCATTCGTGCCAAAGCATAGTCTCACACTTCATCATTTATTTATTAGCACGTAGTTTATTTTACTGAACATAATCAGTTAGGTTTCAAAATCAAACGAAATGAGTTGGATACCTACAAATACCGGTAGAGTTGAGATACTGTCGTGGTGGTCCGGAGGTTAAGGCGTCCCCTTATAAGTATCAAAGTGACTTTTTCCACGCCATCACAAAAGGTGAAGGAAAACATCGTATGGAAATCTGGAATTTAAATAATTTTCTAATCATAAGCTTGAAGTCACTAATCCGCCTTGAGCAAGCGCGGTGATTAATACTCAAACTTTCTCCGTGTGAGGAGAGGCCTTTGCTCAGAAGTACCTAAGCACTTATACGCTGATGATGTGTCATGATGTAAAATAGAGCTGAGCAATTTTAACTAGACTGTCTAGTAGCAGGGGTTAGAATAAATTAAATCGAGTTTAACTTTACCAATTATGAGTTAACTCTGTTAATAAGTTTCAATGTGAAATTATTTAAGTTCTCGTTTTAAAGGGTAAACCGTAAGCCTCGAGGTATAATATTGCTAACTTCACACTCCATGCTACTAATTGGCGTAGGAGAGTTGCGTAATGTAGGTTGACAATTTGATTTAATAATTTAGCTTTTAATTTCGAAAATATTCAGTCCTGGCTGGTTATAATTTTAGTAACATTCGAATTCAAACAAAATGAGGAATTTGCTTTACAAATTAATTGCTGGGAAAATTTAGATATACCTACCTAGTTTTTATGAATAGGTAGAAAAGTACTTTCTTTTTATCAGCGACATAATGGATACGGTATTGGCGTATGGTGTTAGCTTCTTAGATGTTACCTACCGTAACAACTCACCAGAGGGCGTCAAAAAATATCGAATGATACTATCTAACTCCAAATACATTGGTCTAATTTTTTAATGCGATTTTCGATGATGATTTTTGATTGGATTACTAAGTGTTCTTTAAGCAGGTGTTACTGTAATAGATGCTTTCAGGTTGCGCTTATTTGCTTGTGCAAATTAATGTTAATACTTAATTATTTTCCGAAAACCGCTAATGAATGAGTGATTTTGATAACATTAATGTTATTTTTATGAGTAGTGTATGGCATGATACTCTATAAACTGTATTACTAACACTCCGCTGTTCGTGCCGTGCTATACGTTACCACATTGTAATGCTTGGGCCACACTAACGGGAAATGCCAATAATTATCGCGATAATTGGTGATACAATACAATGAAAAATTTACCTTAAATCATTTGCTTAGTGATCATATTACACTTACAATTAACGTCCATTATTGCGATAAATAATGGCATTTCCCGTTAGTGTAGCCCAAGCATCACTCATTCACTGCCAAACCGACCGCACCAATCTAGTAAAAAAAATTCTATAGATACCTACATACAATAAACATGCAACGGATACTAGATGAACAGCGGTTCTTATTGGTTACTCACGGCTGTCTGCTTATTCTCTTAGGTGGCAATTTGGTGGTTTTCCTTGGGGAATAAGGAAAAATCTATTCAAACTATATTCGATTACGTCCTCCATTGATGAGGGTACCTTCTTCGACACGTTAGCTTTGAACTAGCGTCAAATAGCCTCAATACTAACGAAATGAGAGCTCGAAATCTTCGCAACTTTGTAAGGATTTACGTTAAGATGACTTTTTTACTTTTTTGTTATGTAATAGGAGCCATCTTTCATAGGGCGTTGGTATAAGATTTATATAGAGTAGGTTTGATAATAGTGGCTTGCTGGATTAAAGGCAATGAAAATGTTATGCCATGGTGGCCCGAAGGTAAGGCGTCCGTTTCTCGTGAGGAGGTGGGTTCGTTCTTTCTATGTTAATTAGACACCACTGTAGGTACATACGGCGAAGGAAGAAGAAGAATCATAGGGAGCAAACTTACTTATAAATATAAGTTTGAAATCGCCAATCCAATGAGAATAATGTATTATTAGTGAATTGTAAAACAAATAATATATTTTTTTAAAAGAGTTACAATCGAGTTTCTTGCTCATTCTTCTCCATTCGAAACTACAATTTGGAACGAGCACCTTGCTGTACACACTGACGTACCTACGGAATAAACGACTACTATTCTACTTTGACGTTTCAAAAGTACGTATTTATGGTTTAGTTGGAATTGATTTGATTTGATTTGGAAGCGTGGTGATTCATGCTCAAAATTTCTCCGTTTGAGAAAAGGGCCATTTGCAGTCATCATCAGCCTATAAGTGTCTACGCAGTAATAGGCTGATGAAGACTTGTAACTGAATATAAGGATAATTTAATATACTTTATGGTTTACCGGGAAATACCGAAAATTAAAGTTACATGACCCCATGGTGGGAAACCCTTAAGAATATTGCGTCATCTCTGAAGATGAAGGAGACTGTCAGACTCTACTGACCATCTATAACCCACCTTTTTTATATTTCTAGTCAAAAACTCACCCCAATGCCCTGGTTTGCACGAAGCAACGTTTAAAGTGTGGGAGAGCCATGCTTCGGCACGAACGGGTCGGCTCGACCGGAGTGATACCACGGCCTCACAGAAAACCGGCGTGAAACAACCACAGCGTTGTGTTTCGCCGTGTGAGTGAGGTTACCGGAGGCCCAATCCTTCTCCTCCCCCAATCCCTCCTCAATCCTTAATCTCCAAATCCCTAATCCCTAAAAGGTCGGCAACGCGCTCGCTACTCCTCCGTTGCGGGTGTCCATGGGCGGCGCTGATTGCTTACCATTAGGTAATCCGTTTGCTCGTTTGCCGACCTATAACTTAAAAAAAAGCTACGAAGGTACGGGAATAATTCTTCCACAGTCATGTTGAACTCCTACCCGGTACCAAATATAGTATAGGACAATATTCTAAGAAACAAAACAATGTTGGAAAAATCTTGAATTAACAAACTAGTGTTTATACTTACAGTCAAGTACCTGCCTACATTAGTATAATATCATATAATAAGCAGCACTTATAAATACACTACTTACCAAGTGGTATGTGGAATCTCACAATATTTTACTGATAATGCACTAATGGACTGAGGAACTAAGTACTTACATTTTATCGTAATTTCGTATTCAAGTGGTCTATTATGAACAGAACAAGGGAGAAGTTTATTGGACGCAACGATTTCCTCAGGAAAAGCATGGCGACAAATGTATGAACTAAAACTAGCAGAGCTTATCTCTGTTGATTCACGTAAGTCGTTATATTCAATTAATTTTGTAAGTTTCACAATAGTTTACTACACAAAAAGGATGAAGTTAAAGAGTTTATAATATGTTTACATTAGTTATCATTTTTGAAGGAGAATAACTTTCGATCTCGAAGGAGGTAAGTTATGACATTTTTAGGTGGTGGGAACAATTTAAATGACGCTCTAGAAGGGCGACATTAAAAAATAAAATGCACAGTAGAAAAAAAAAGAATTGATCAAGTATTAGGTGTCTATATGTTTTAATAAGAAAAGATACGATCAGGTTTTTTAAGCGTTTACGGTATATCTAGTGTTTTGAACATAGCTACGTGGAACATCCTGTTTTAAAAACAGGAATTTTAAATAAAATTTACTGGCCAGTTTAAGGGATACCCGATGCACCTATGGCAACATACTTAATGAGTTATAAATACAATAGATAATGATAATGATGTTTGTGTAAACAGGGTCATTAAGTCCAGATAAAATTATACA